AGCTATGGCAGTAATTTTCTCTATGTGTGATTGTGCTGGAATACTCCATCTCTGCAGTAGTGCTTTTGTACTTGCATGAATCTGTAGCCTTACACAGTGTGTAGTATGTCACGCATGACCGCATGACTAAAACCAGTGTGCATTGATACCCTTTGCCGCTGGCTCCAGTACGGTGGGTCAGTTTTCGCACTCCTTTGTTATTCCCGCACCTGTCACTGCACTGCCCTTCCTCCGTGACCCGGAGCTGTTGCGAGCGCTCATGTTTCCTTTGCGTCTCCTTCGGAGCGCTTTCCTGCTCTCCGTGTCTCTTTGCATCGCTGCACTTTGGCTGGCGCTGTTTGCAAGCAGTTCTTTTATATTCACAGGTTCCGTGCTTTATTCGGGAGATGTAGAGTTAGACCTACGAGAGGTTGAGTGAGTTTAGAGTTTGCCCGCGCTGCTTGTAATTGTTGTTTCGCAGCTCAGAGTTTTGCTTGTATTTTCAGAGTTTCGTGGTTCACAGATGTCCCTCGTTCTTCACAGTATATCAGTTTGTTCTCAACAGTGAGATTCAGTACCAGAGTGTAACAGTGATAATCAATGAGCTATACACTACCACCGACTGTTGTTGCTACCACTATGGTTAATGGTGTGTTTTTTCCGTACTTGTGTGTGCACTGACTGGTGGACAAACAGGAATTGCAGAAGACAATGACGAGAAAGAGGGAAGAGGTCTTGCATGCTGATCGTGAAACTTACACCAACCTCCCTCCCCAGACCGGATGGTGTAGCATTCAGCAAGCAGCCCGTACACCAAGGAACATCATAGTTATACACATCAAACTAATAGCGGATGGCTGAAATACAGAAAGAGATGATTCGCACATGCTCTAGTGACCAGCATATGGCATGAGGAAATGGAGTAGTGGCAAGTATGAGATCACCTTGATGGCATCATTGCTGGTTAAGTTCTCCATAAGAACATAATAGTATTCACGGTGTTCTTCTTGTAATGCCCAAATTTCTATGACTGGACAAGTGTCAATGTGGATACATGTAGTATGATTACAGCAGCCACACTGGTAGCTGGACAGATAGTGCACTGGGAGAGCAATGGTAAACAATGAAAGACCACTTCAAAAGATGTGTGGTGTGTGCCAAGCTAAAGAGTAGCGATCAGTTCTTTGGCCTTCCAAGCGGTTGACTGGTACTATCCCAGCAGGAGCTATGTTGTCTTCTGCTATAGCTTCACTATCGTCTAACGCCTAAGATATGGGTGTGTGGATGTGCTCATAATGCTATATCAGATCCACTGTGATTTAACCACCCACACTAGAAGCAAGTATTACCTTTGCTGGGGGCAGCGGTAAATGCAGTTGGATCTCGGGACAGATACCCTAATGCCGTCAGTCCTTTTTCTAAACCCTATTCTCGCCCATTTACTGAGGTGTGGTGAGCCCACAAGTGGGATCATTTCCAAGCCCACCCAGATTTTGGGGATTTGAGGGGGCGTCGGCCATTGTGCGGAGAGAATAACGAGTAATCTTTCCAAGATTCCTTTCGAATCTCTTTCCCCCCTCCCGGGGAGACCAACGTGACCAATTTCGAGAGTGAGCAAGTACAAGTACAAGCATGTGTGTGCGTGTGTGTGTGTGTGTACGCCCATGGTGTATGAGTATGTTTGAATGCATTTGTTGCTCTCCCTCTCTGCCTCCCCCCCCCCATCCCTCCCTCTCTCTCTCTCTCTCTCTCTCTCTCTCTCTCTCTCTCTCTCTCTCTCTCTCTGCCTCTCTCTCTCTGCCTCTCCATCCCGACACACATGTGACATTGCCATAACCCACATACAAACAACTACATACCAGCACATGTACATTGTCGACAAGAAACACATCTGCAACAAGTGCAGGGTCGTACTTACACTCAAGCAGGCATGCATGTCGGCTATGTAGCTGCCGATGTGACACAGTAAGTCATGACTTGGCCGCTGACACAACGATGCCATGGCCACGCCGGGCACAAATCCCCACAGCGCCACGGCGTGATGCTGCGGCTTGTCATGCAGGTCGTGTGGAAGATCAACGTAACAGAACAGCGTGCCTACAAACACCAGTAAGTAGAAGCAAGGCAATGTCGACATAAGTGCAACTGTCATGCACAGTGAGAACAGATTAGAGTATATACTTAATATCACGTCAATTTGTTCGTAGCAGGCCGTTATTTATGGTGAAATCCAGATACAGTGCTAGTAACTGCGTACAGTGGGATATAAATCCAGAAAGTACTAGTGCAGTGGGACTTTCCGTAATAGACACCTTTGAACAAGGGACACATCTGAACCAGGGATGCCTTGGACGAGGGGCACCTCTGAACAAAGGATACCTTTGAACCAGAGGCACCTCTCAAGAAAGGACACCTCCACGTCCAGGGCATGTTTTGGTCAGTCTCAACATATCCCAGTCAAGTTGTGATTCACTCCGGAGTCAGGACACCTCTCCAGATAGATACATGTCTGGTCCCAAGGGAGTCCATAATCCACAGGTTGAATTGCAACACCCACCCTACATGGGTAGATACGCTTGGCACGGCATTGCACAGTCACATCATGCAGCGTGTACTGAAGCAGCAGTGTGAGGATCCTTCAGCTGTGCGGTACCCGTACTGTCGAGTATCGCACGAGCCAAATTCACGCTAGCTAAAACTCAAGTTGACAGCGAGCAAATATTACTTTATCAGCTGTCCTGTAAACTAACATCACTTCTCCACAGCCCTGCATACCACAGAGTGGGCAGCTAAAGAAGGATTGCATACATTTTACAGCACTGACTCTTCAAAGTACTGTACAAGAGCAACAATCTACTGCAGCGAAACTTCAGTACCAACTACAACGCACCCTGAACATGGCACACGTTTCTTTTTGCATTGGACGTGTAAGTACTGATATGTCCAATGCAAAAAGAATCTTTTCCAGTCGTTTGGCCTCGAATTGACTCTTGAGAGTGCCTTGGCCATACCGTAACGATTTGTAATGATTATTTTGTATACCCCTTGGAGGCACACTATAGACTGGCTTGAACTGTCTGTGTCATGTGACTATACTTGCCTAGCAACTAGCAAGTGGTCATGGCACGTGGACAGTGGAACCAACATGGCCGACATCGAGTGTCTCTTGCTATAGACGCAGGGATTTGGTGGAGTTGAAACCAATGGCTGCCCTGCATAGTCATGTGGTGGATGTGCAGCATCTCTATACCGAAGTTTCATTATACATGTACCTACAATTGTACTGTCGTGGACATGGAAATCCGGTCGCACGTCTAGCGGCCCCAGGGCGCTGGCCATGCAGCCGTGGGTAAGCAACACATGCATGACCTGATGACAGTATGCGCTGCAGCGCGCTGGTTGCATCGGATCAACGTGCACTGTTCTGTAAGCGCTGAGGGTGCCAGCCCCGGTCAATCGACTGGATTTCTATGTCCACGACAGCAGATACTACGTATCCGCTGTTCACCTGGGCACAGACTTGGTCCGTATGATTGTACAGTCAGCTCTGGAAGTGCGCATTTGCAGAAAGTGTGCGTGCACACGCGCACGCACGTATGAAGTGTACGTGTGTGCACGCATGTATGAAGTGCATGTGTGTGTGTGTGTGTGTGTGTGTGTGTGTGTGTGTGTGTGTGTGTGTGTGTGTGGTGTGTGTGTGTGTGGTGTGTGGTGTGTGTGTGTGTGTGTGTGTGTGTGTGTGTGTGTGTGTGTGTGTGTGTGCCCACATGTGTGTGGTGTGTCTGTGTGTGCGTGTGTGTTCAGCTTGGTATGTCTAACATAGCTGTTCACTATCATCGCTTCCGCGATGGGCAGGTCTGAGGTCTGAGGTGCATGTCAGAGCCAGATACATGTTTGAGGAGGACCTACTGTCCTACTGTGTCAACACGCACCTTGTCTTGAGCTCATCGGCACAGGACATCGAAATCCATGATTCCCTAAATGAACCAGCAGCTTCGCATGTGCATCCAGGAAAGGGCGGCTACACGAAAACTGCGAATGTAACACTTTCAGCACACAGTCAGTTGTCTGCTCAGACTCTTCTAATTTGAGTTTCATGTGAAAATTCCTGTCATCGTAGCTGGGTAGTTCCCGAACAATAACGACGTCCTCGCTGTCAGACACAGGAAACAATTCCTTCAGCAATGAAAGGGCTAGTTTTTGATCTACCATTGGGCGTGGAGACGCCCCTATATTGCTATCACACATCCTGGCAAATCCAATCGAACAAACCTGGTCTAATTTTCGACACAAACTTTGAATGAATCTAAACATTAAAATTATTCTAGGAAATGCTGAGAGGGTCGGAGAAAATCCAGGTGACCTGTCGACCACCGCGCTGACACAAGAATGCATGCAATATTAGTAGTGGCTGATTGAATAAGACCAACACTGGTCTTCTTCCACATTTGCAACCTCGACACGAAACTGCTCGTATGTCCTCATATCAGATAATAATAATTATTATAAATCTTTCAAAGAAATGCAGCATGCATGCGGCCAAAACGGCGTCAGAGACGCCAAACCTCAGCTACCATGTGTGCTGACATGCGAAAGTCAAACACAATTCTGAATGACTGAAACCAAAAATTAGAACAGTCTTTCTTCGACTCAACTCTACGATCTACGAGTCGAGTAGATCTACAAGCAAAGTGACCATTTAGATTTACCATGATTTGGAGTCTTGAGAGTGGTAGTCTACCACTACGAACCACATGTGCCTCTCACAAGACTCAGGCCAAAATGTAACCTCCCAAATAAATAAATAAACGATCTGCAGACAAAACAGAAAAATGATAATGTCAAATCTGCAGGCATATACATGCAGTGTCGGTTGGTGTCATCGATATTCGAAAACGCTCAAGACATGCATTTTTCTTCAGGCTTTCCCAGCGTCGAGCTGTCCTGAACTACAGTAGTTGACAGCCTCATAAATGTCCTTTACTTCCATATCTTCCAGGCGTTGTTGGCGTCGATTGAAAATAACTGCAGTGCTCAGTAGAAGAATAGGATCTGGAACCTGTCTAAACATGGCTGAAACCCCAAGCAGAAAAGTGGCGAAAGGAATAGACTCGATCGTGATCACTAGTGGTATCAAGGGTGCCAACGTTGAGCCAACCACTGCAGAAGTAACGAGGAACGCCTTTATGATGGCAGGCTGCTGCTCTGCCTTCGCTGGCGTTTGCAATCAGCATGGTGGACCATTTGGAGCAACGGTCACCAAAGACAACCAGATAGTTTCATGCATGCACAACACTGTCCTGCAGGACGAGAACCCAACGCGACACGGTGAGATGAACGCCATCCGACAAGCCTGTGCCAATCTGCGCTCCGCAGATCTGACTGGATGTGATATGTACACTACCTGTGAGCCATGTCCGATGTGCTGGGGTGCTATCCAGCGCTCAGGCATTCGTGATATGTACATCGGCGTGGACCGTTACTTGGCCGCCGAGTTTGGCTTCAACGACAAAGCTTACTACGATGAGATCGCGCTCTTGCACAACACACTGAATAGCAAGGAGCAGGCGCAACCGGTCGTGTCTAATTTTCTAACAGTCCGTATTGGCAATCCTCTGAAAGCACTTGTTCAAGACAAGCTTCTTGGACGTGGTGATGCTACAATTGGCGGCAGTGTTGGTGATTTATCTTGGCTTACTGTTTCGCGACGAGACCAAAGTAGCACAAGTACCGATGGCGATGCAGAAGCTGAGTGTAGTGCAGGTGTTGATGAGCGTTTCTCAACAGAACAACATGCGAAATTCAGTGAGCAGCTCGTCAGCTACGCAAGTGAGATGATAGCTAAGCATGGGTCTGGTGCACAGCCTGATGGTCACGAGGCATGCATACTAGTGGACACACAGACTGCCAAAGTTATCGCCTGTGGTTCTACGTTGACGGCAAACCGCGAGGATGCGTCCAGTGGCTTTGTCACGTCTGTCGTCGAGGAAGCCTGCCGTGCCCTGAGCACGCGCGTCCTGGACCAGTGCATCGTGTATTGCACCGTGGAGCCGGACCCCATGAATTTCTGCTCGCTGCTGTGGGCCAGTGTGCCAGTGTTACACATTGGCCTGTCGCAGAGCAACGTGGACGCACAGCGAAGCCGTTCACCCGCATCTCGCCAGGGCGAGCGCTCGCACCAGATCTTTGAGCATTTCTTCGAGCGTGAGGAACGCAAGAAGCACGAGAAGCCTGGTACAGGCTCGGTGATGAGGGAGGAATGTGCTAACGTGTTCCGCAAGTGGCAGCACTTGAATGGCCTGATCTACTAAATACATGTACCGACTACACAACAACAATGACACGGTACCCAGGCTTGCCTGCTGATCACACTCATACCTATTTTCAATGGTCCAATATAGTGACCTGTGCAAAGATATGCTCCAGTGTTGCTGTACATCATCGCGCTTGTAGCTCAACGATACAATATCTTCGTATCACCTATTTTATTTTCACGCTGTTCGGCTTATTTTTCTTACAGCCTTTATTTTTATTTTGGTATCAATGCAGAAGTCCTCGTAGAACCTTTTCTAGATTATACCTTTCCAACTGCAGCCTCATGTCGAACACTTCTAACAGGAGAACACCGTGATGTTTTAGGTTAGTTTCAGTTCACAATCATTTTGTGTCGTAACGATTTCTGAAATTGTGTATCAGCCAAAAATACCTTTCATCCCCAATTATTTCCCGACAATAGCCCTGCATTTTGGCTCGTTTTTTTGTAGCCTCGCACCGACCATTTCTAGCAAAAGAACGCAATGTTTTATTATTGATTTTATAGCTTCAGTCCAAAATCATTTCATTTTGTAAAAATTATTAAAACTGCATATCAATTCTGAGGGTGCGTTCTTATCTTCTACTGGTTCTTGGGAAGATGAAGAGCCGGGAAGAATATAAAACAGATGTTGATGTTGTCCCGAGCGCAAAACGCGAAACGGGCCAGGTCGTTGATAGACATGCATGAGCATGTACTAGACAAACATGTGTATCTTGTAAAGCATGTAGTCCGCATCCAGAGAGCCATTGACATGGTAGCTCCAAGTTTCAACTATATCTTCGAAGTTCGGAGAGCTTTGGAAATTTCTCCCAGGCTTCCCAGAGGATATAATAACACTTCTCAAAATAATTTGTTCAGTCTTGAACACTTGCGAGAGGATTTATGAACGCACCCGAGGCTACAAATGTAGGTACCCGTGATGAGATCATGGTTCCTGTTGGTCGAAATATTCTAGGAGCAGTTTGTACATGCACTCACAAGCAGGGGGTTGTAAAATACCCCCCCCCCCCTTGCTTACAAGTCGCAATAGAGGTTGTGCGATCGCATCATCAGTTGAGATGCTTTGGCAAAGTTGCGGCACATGCAGCCATACAGCCATGCATTAGCTAAAGCAAATCCACAACTCACACTGTACACACACAGCCTACTGTAAGACCAGACATTTTAACGTCAATTAAAGTTAACGATCACTAGATTTTTGTGGGTTAGCGAGGTGAAACTCTAACGAATTCCGTCTCAAAACCGGTAAATGACTGTACAGGTCCACATCGTTTTGTACATAACGAACTCAAATGTCAACGACTGAGTTGTCTAAATTCCTTAAATCGTTATAATTAAATGTTTGTTTTAACATTACTGGTCTTACAGTAATCAGTATAATATCAAGAGTACATAACCCCCCCCCCCCCCCCCCCCAGAGTGTGCAACGCATGATCTAGCTCTGCATAGGGTCTTGGTCGAGCGTAATCGGATCGTCTGATGTCATGCGTACACTCCACACCAGCACAAGGCCGGTCTCGAGGCAGGGCACCGTTGTTTTGATCCGAGAGTACCCGCGACTCCCCGGGTTCCCCTAAGATGTGTACGGTATTATGACGCAAAGATCCGATTACGCTCGACCAAGACCCTATGCAGAGCTGGATCAGGCGTTGCATACTCTGGGGGGTTATGTACTCTTGGTGATATCAGTCACATACAGTGCAGTGAGCCAGGAACACAGCCACAGCACTCCGTGTGCACACATGAACATGTTAGCCCAGGCACAGACATCGTGTAAGTATCAAGGCACGAGAAAATGGGGAAACCTTGGAGGACACTGCGGTGTTTGGTCATGACTAAGAACTTTGATTCAACAAAGCAAATCAAGAAGAAGAGTCAGTAGCTGTCTCCAAAACCAACATTGAGCGAGACCACTCAGCTACTTGTCATTTTCTAAAACTATCATTAGTTAGCAATAATAAGCAAGTTTTTCACAAACAGCACGAATCGACATTATAATTAAAGTGTACGACAGGTCCCTTCGACCTACAGGCTCTCTCCTTCCGCCGTGGTCCAGCAGTCAAGAGAGCGGACATTCCGAGTGCACTATGGAGTAGCCGGCAACAGTCACACACCGGGATGGGTGACCAGATGTGTACAGGATCAGTTGACGCCTTGCCTCAAATGGACGTTTCAGCATACCCGCACATACCCTATCACTCATACCAGGTAGCACTTCTGCAGGCTTTTTCAAGTCACTGTTAGAATTTTCTTCCCTTTAGAACAGCTGTCCAAAGCCGCCGACATTTTCGAACAGGCGAAATAGATCCGCACACTCATCTCGCAAGACTACACGGTCAACCGCGCCTGGTTGCTCTTGCTTCTTACGTTCCTCACGTTTGAAAAACTTCTCAAAGATCCGGTGCGTGCGTTCGCCATCCTGAGATCCTGGTGTGCGGTTTCGATATGCATCCACGTCACCCTGTGGCAAGCCAATGTACAAGAACGGTACCTTTGCCCACAGCAACGAGCAAAAATTCATTGGATCCGGCTCAACTGTGCAGTACGCGATGCACTCCGTTAGGAACTGAGTCTTGAACTCGCTGGTGGCTTGCTCGACGGCTGCTGTGACAAAGCCACCGGATGCATCCTCGTGGCCCGCCGTCAACGCAGAACCACGGCCGACGACTCCTCCAGTCTGTGTGTCCACTAGTATGCATGCCTCGTGACCATCAGGCTGTGCACCAGACCCATGCTTAGCTATCATCTCGCGTGCATAGCTGACGAGCTGCTCACTGAATTCGGCATGCTGTTCAGCCGAGATACGCTGGTCAGCTATGCTAGGACTACGTTTAGCTTGTGGACTGCCATCCTGTGTTGTGTCCGCTTGCAAGACAGTCAGCCAAGCAGAGTCACCCCCGTCACCGCTCGTAGTGCTATCACCTCCGAGTAGCTGGTCTTGAACAAGTGCTTTCAGAGGATTGCCAACCCGGACGGTTAGAAAGTTAGACACAACCGGTTGTGCCTGCTCCTTGCTATTCAGCGCGTTGTGTAAGAGCGCGATCTCGTCGTAGTAAGCTTTATCGCTGAAACTAAACTCTGCGGCCAGGTAACGGTCCACGCCGATGTACATATCGCGAATGCCTGAGCGTTGGATAGCACCCCAGCACATCGGACATGGCTCACAGGTAGTGTACATATCACATCCACTCAGGTCAGCTGAGCGCAGATTGGCACAGGCTTGTCGGATGGCGCACATTTCACCATGTCGCGTTGGGTTATGGTCGCGGAACACGGTGTTATGGCTGCACGACACGATTTGGTTGTCCTTGATTACTGTAGCGCCAAATGGCCCGCCGATTTTATTCACGACTCCGGAGAAAGCAGAACAAGCGCCCGCCATCATAAACGCGTTGCGTGCTATGTCCGTACGAGTAGGGTCAGCATCCTTGCTGCCACCAGTTACCACAACCGAGTGAATTCCCTTGGCAAAGTTACTGCTGCTGCTGCTGCTTCGTTCAGCCATTTTCACGAACGTTTCTCTCGGACTCCAGATTCCTCCTTCGTAATGACTGTGCGCTGCACTCGGTATCCGCCTCCACCAAGTTTATAAGAGAAGCTTGATCTGTCAGCTCGTCCAATGAAAATGTCAAAAGATCTCCAGACAGGAGAGGTGCCATGGCTCGAGAAAGGAGGGTCGAAGAAAGCTGAAAAAGACTGACATCTGTTTGGCAGAAAGGTAAGTTTCGCTTGTAAAATCACAAGCCGCTACTGCCTTTTTTGCATTATTAATTTTTTTATTTGAATGAAAAGCTGAAAATCACACCTTTGCGCGAATTCGGCCGGTCCGCGAGATTCGGCGGCGCACCGCGCGCGCACAACTCGATCGTAGATTCTACGCCAGCGCCGGGTTGGCCGCGCTCCGGCTCCGTTCCCGTCGTCGACCATGCCAGAGTTTGCTTGCTTTGATTTTGAAAGCCTGCCTCTCTGTTGACTTTCCAACACTGGAATTGAGTGGAAAGGAGGAAGCCTTGAGTGGCCCATTGACATTTTGTTTTGTTGAGTAGTGAAAAGTGGCGAAGCGCCAGTGTAGGCAGTGTATGTAACTTGTAGCCTATCGTACTGCTGCACGTCTTTGTGAGAATGGTGTTCTGGAGACAACTACTTTGTAGATTTGTCAAGTAAATTTGTGGGTGAAATGTGGAGTTTCTTTCGTTGATTTTAGCCTAGTAGTTTGACCTTTCCACGATCAGAGCAGCTTTGTTAGTATCGTATTCCACTGTGCGGTAGACCTAATTTATTCTCGGCTGCTTTTGTATGGTGTTACAATGGCCAGTAGGTTAAGCAGAAATTTTAGGTACGAGGATTACGATGCTGATGAAGGACTATGGATCGACAACCAGTTTACATTCGAAGTGGCATGGGAGGTGGCGAACAAAGTCGGTGGCATTTACACGGTCATCAAGAGCAAGGCCATGTACAGTGTAGAAACGATGGGCAATGACTATTGCCTACTTGGCCCGTATGTAGAGCGAAACGTACGCACTGAGATGGATATTATCGAGGAGATTCCCAACCTGGCATTGCGAGATACCATTCAGGAGTTACGTGACAATGGTATCCATGTTGTCTATGGTCGATGGTTGATAGAAGGGTACCCCAAAGCTGTGCTGTTTGACCTGGAAAGTACGCGATGGCGTGTTGACGGTGCGAAAGCAGATTTCTGGAATGCGACGCACATTGGCGTTCCTGCCGACCCGGAAGCCGAGAACGCAATCCTGTTTGGCCACATCGTCGCTTGGTTCATTGGCTCCTTCCGTGCTAGGTGTGCGGCCAGCACACTCGTCGTCAGCCACTTCCACGAGTGGCAGGCCGGCGCGGGGCTGATTCTGCTGCGTACGCGTCACGTTGACGTGGCAACGGTGTTCACGACGCATGCCACCCTGCTCGGCCGCTACCTGTGTGCCAGCAACGTGGACTTCTACAACAACCTGAGCAGTTTTGACGTGGACAAGGAAGCTGGAGAGCGTAACATCTATCACCGTTACTGTATGGAGAGGTCGGCATGCCACTGTGCCCACGTCTTCACCACTGTATCAAGAATCACGGCGGATGAAGCAGAGCACTTGCTGAAACGCAAAGCCGATGTCATCGTGCCCAACGGGCTCAACGTGGTGCGCTTCAGCGCCATGCACGAGTTCCAGAATCTCCACGCCAAGAACAAGGAGAAAATCAACGCATTCGTCCAGGGTCACTTCTCCGGCTACTATGATTTCGACCTGGACAAGACCTTGTACTTCTTCAGCGCTGGTCGCTACGAGTTCACGAACAAGGGTGCCGATCTCTACCTGGAGTCTCTGGCGCGTCTCAACCACATGCTGAAAGCATCTGGCAGCGACGTCACCGTTGTAGCATTTCTGATCTTCCCGACGCCAACCAACAACTTCAACGTAGAGTCACTACGCAGCCAGGCATCCACCAAGCAGCTGCGTGACATTGTCCAGGGTTTGCAGGATCGCGTTGGCAGGCGGATATTCGAGTCGGCGCTGGCAGGTAACCTACCGGACAACGGCGATCTGCTGACATCAGAGGATCTGCTCAAGTTGAAGAGGTGTATCTACGAAGCACAGCGACCCAGCCTTCCCGCAGTGGTCACGCATAATGTAATTGCTGATTCCACTGACCCCATCCTGTCGACGATCCGACGCCTGGAGCTGTTCAACAAGCGTGAGGATCGTGTCAAGGTGATCTTTCACCCAGAGTTCCTGAAGTCGACCAATCCACTGATCGGTCTCGACTATGAGGAGTTTGTGCGCGGTTGTCACCTGGGCGTGTTCCCATCGTACTACGAGCCATGGGGCTACACGCCAGCTGAGTGTACTCTGATGGGCATTCCATCCATCACCACCAACCTGTCTGGCTTTGGCTGCTTCATGGCCGAGCACGTGGCCAATCCAGAGATGTATGGTATCTATATCGTGGACCGCCGCCTGCAGGGCTTTGATTCGTCCGTTCTACAGCTGGCGCAGTACATGTACCAGTTCTGCCAGTTCAACCGACGACAACGCATCATCCAGCGTAACCGAACGGAGCGGCTCAGCGACCTGCTGGACTGGAACAGTCTCGGCCGCTACTACCAGCAAGCACGTCGATTGGCCATCGCCGCCATCCGTCCCGGGACGCAGGACTATGAGATTCCGGACCCCGCGGACTACGAGGCACGCTACCCGAAGCCGGCCTCAATCGCCGATCCGCAGGCCTATCAGTCTGATGTGGATGACGTGGACGATGACATGGAGGATCAGGAATTGAGCTCGGTCGCGTCGTCGCGCGCTCGCAGTCCCGAGCCGGAGTCGCCGTCGGATTACAAGGACAAGAAATAGACGTGCCCCATGCGGCTAGCCCCAGGCGGGCGCGTGTCTGCGTTAGATCAGTAGGCCCGTGTACCGGTATCTGCGCCGGTCACATCTCTTACTTTCCTCGTTTCTCTCACCTTCTTTCTTGCTACACATCAGTCTGGTCACCTGCCTGCCCCTACTAGATCAAGTTGACCGTGCTTGCCATCCCATTGCACCAGCATGTATGGCAGCACTGGCCTACAGTTATCCTATGTTTTATATAGATTTTTTGTTTTTATCCAATCTCCAAACCAGTAATGCATGTACCTATGACTCTTCTCTGAAAGGGTGCCACACCAGTTCACCGGTGGTCAGAAGGTTTCATTATGGATTTTAGGCTTTCTTGACCATTTTTATCGATAGTATCATATTCGCTGTCACAATGTATCATGAAATTCATGCTGTGCACATGCAGTCGCAAAAGTACACTATTTTCTGTTGAAGACCCAGCTTTTTTTGTTTGTTTCGAGTTTTTGGTGGACTCCTGCCTCCCACCTGTATTACGGACACTGTGCGTTTTACCGCCGTGAGCATTATAGTTTCACTGGTGTATTGTTGTTGTCATCATCACACGCTCGTGTGTGCTTGAATTCCATGTATCGTGTATACATTTTGTCTCGTTGCTACCAATTATTTAGAAGCATGTCAATTGCTATGAAAGGTTGGTTTCCGAATTTTAAATTATTTTCACTGCGTCGTGTATCACCAGCGCAGCGTGAGTGGTGTTTGTCTGCATACTGTTCATCATGTTGTCTTATTTCAACTCTTTGTTAGAAATCTGTGATTTACACTACCGGTATTTGTGAACATGCACATCAAGTGATGATTTCAGGTACGAGCGTACAATACAAGACTGAAACACATTTTGGCCGATATTACATATAGTGCATGTGGTCAACTGTGTGCACATGCCATTGAGTGGCAACAGATCAAAAAGTTTTGCAACTGTACTCACACAGCATGCAATGCACGCATTTTTGAAAAATGGAACATGTGTATTTGCTCCTACGGTACATTTACTGACAGTATAGATATTAGCTCTGCCCCAAACCTAGTGCCATGCCTGACAGAGAAGTGACCAATGACCCATTATGCACGTTTACATCCACTTCTGACAGTGACTGACACAAACACACTTATAACACACACGTGCGTATCAACGAACCGATCAAGTCGCCCTCAGTTGTTATCGCAGGGACGTGCCCTGGATGGGTTCTACTTGACTGACAGCAGTCAGTGTGTAGCATAAAGAGAAAAGCACGATACACGAATGAAACAAACAGATCTGTAGAGAAAGGGGTATAGTATATACAGGCAAAAGGAAGTAACGGATAGCCATACAAAAAATTGACAGCAAAACACACACACACACACACAAGGCTTTAAGATGCGTTCGAGACAGGATAGCATATCAGATAGGGGGGGTAAAGATTGGTAGAACAAACTGGAATGTTAGGTGATGATAGTGAGACATGATCATGCCGTCAATAACAATGATGATAAAAAAGTGAGAAAGATGGAGAAAATGGCGTGATGAAGTGCACGAGTATTGTTGTCTTTCTGGAATGCTACAGCTATGCACTAGATACAATGCGTGGGCTACTTTTCGTGAGTTAATTTGATGTCAGGTTATCTTGTTTCATACTAAGCTGAAGTGATTTATGTCTATGCCTGCAGCCATGCGGAGATATGTTCAAAGCGATACATTTTCGGGGGCCAAAGGGGGAGGGGGTAGTTTTCACAAACACTATCAAAAAGATAATCCACAAAATACGCCACAATCGCTACAAAGGAGGGGGTTGGCAGTTAGCTAGCTTGTACAGGACGATGAGTAAGTAAGTATTAATGAATACAAGTGATAGCCAATGAAGCACACAGCAGATGTGACCTTGCACAGCGACATACATGCAGAGCGGACAAGGATCAAGACAAAAGATTAAGAACGTACTGAAGAGTTTGGTGCGAAACTAGTAATCTACACATTTCTAAATACATGCATGAGGCAGGAATATGATGATGATGAACAGAGAGCATTGTAGGATGCTGCAAACTGTTTTCTGTACACACACACACACACACACACACACACACACACACACACTACTGTTTGGCTGACTCGGTTTCCGTCGCAGTCGTCGGTACTGACCTGTCGCTTGGTGGCGGGAAGATCAACGCTGCAGTGCTGACATCGAGCGGCAAACCGGCGCCAACGCCAATGGAGCGCATGAGCGGCTCGGGTGTAGTGCACTGTGGCTGTGCGCCGCTCGCCTCGGCTAGAAACCCCGCGTCGTCGTCATCGTCCGCTGGTCGACTTCGCTTCGCCGGTGGGCTGCAGGCCAACTCCTGCGGTCGTAGTGCGGTGTCAGTGTTTGTCACTGACACCGCACTGCTGGCAGCGGTGGATGTCAGAAGTGAACTAGTCAACACAGGATCCACGGGTGCGGACATACTGCCCACGCTGACGACGGACGTAGCCGCTGCCATGCTCGACGTCAGCACGACTATGTTCTGACTCGATGCCGATGACACAGTTAAACCAGTTGCCGGAGAAGCGATGGAAGCAGCAGCGGCGGTAGAGGCAGCCATAACCGCACCCCCGTCCACCGGAGCGGTGAGGGTGCTGACAGCACTGCTCGCAGCAGATAAACATGCACCGTCCATTGCAGGACTCCTGGACTCACTACCATCTTCCTCCTCTTCCTCATCCTCATCATCATCATCAGGCAGATCTGCAAAGTTACAGTAAAAATAATGAAACCAGTTCCAGGACATGTGTTTGAAGAGTGCAGATACAGATACAATACACATGACCCACTCCCCACACCCACGCCGAAGCGAGTACACACACGTGCATACCAGTACACGTGCATACCAGTACACATGCACACCCACACAGGTAATGCACACACACACATGCATAGTCGCAAACTCAAGCAAGTCTTACACACGTGCTCACAACACATGCCCTCACACACACACCATTGGACCATTGGACGCCCATCGCCGGAGGCGATGATAGCGATGCTACAGCAGAAGCCATAGCAGCTTGTGCTGGGATTGCACCATTCAACAGGTTGCAAGGCTGAAGAATTGACCGCCACTATTCAGCCTGGTCTACACCACACAGCTATGAAGTGGCTTTTTCTGGCCAGCATTCTCCTGGGTGGTTACCAACAGCCAGTGCACGCCAGAGTATGTGGTGTGATGTGTGCGTGTGAAAAAAATGAAAAAGACCAAAAAGTAGGGATTCACTGGCCACACACACACACACACACACACGGACAGGCTATGAAGTCTTACCTGGCGAGGCCGTGAAGTACATTGAAATGGAGTCCTGTAGCACTGTCTCCTTCTGCTTCTGCATTTCCTTCTCCAGCAAGAAGAGAATATAGTCCTCAAACAACATACTTAGAAGGTGATATGAACCTTAAGAAGACAAAGAAGATCAATTGGAGAGACAAAACAAAGAGAGGGCATATGGGCTTATGACTAAACGTTACGCCCGACATTCAAGCTCATACAGCATAACCTGTGCGAAACCGGTCATATAGCAACGCTGGAGATGCGGGAATCTGAGGTCATAGCCCATGCTTAACCAAACAATTACTCACCAAAGCTTGGTGCACTGCGAAGCGTCAAGTCTCGCACAACACGAGTGGTGAAGAATTGCCAGCGCAGCAGGAAATTGCGAGCCAAGTCCTGAAAATCCTTGCCTTCATTCTCTGTAGGCTGCGTGTGAAACAAGCAGAACAGACAGACAGATATGACAGGTCAAGCACAAGATGGACAAGAACAGATACACAATACAAAGACTAGATCTGAAGCTTAGGAAACAGTGGTGGTGGTGGCAGTCGTGGTGGCGGTGGTGGTGGACTACATCAACGTTTATAGACCCAGGCCAGCTTTCTTGAGGTACAGGTAAAATAATGCATGCCACTTTTCTACACGCACAGAAATACGCAAAGCTACTATACAGATGGGACGATTGGCTGAGAAAGAGAGGGAGAGAGAGACAGAGAGAGAGAGAGAAAGAGAGAGAGAGACACACACACACACACACACACACACACACACACAGAGACAGAGAGAGAGAGAGAGAGAGAGAGAGAGAGAGAGAGAGAGAGAGAGAGAGAGAGAGAGAGAGAGAGAGAGAGAGAGAGAGAGAGACAGACTGCCTCACCTGCAGGATGCAACGCTCCACCAAATTGCCCAGCCACGACGCAAAACTCTCAACGTTTGCTTGCTGCTCCAGTAAGTCCTCGAACTCGAGCATGACTGAGTGCAAGAGTCAGAACACAAACAAATAGATAATTGGGGGTAAACATTCATGTTCACAGAGTCCACATCCCGAGCACAAGACTAGGTGCACATGGTTGCGCTTGATCAATGAGTGTTTTGTGTGGCTTGAACAGAACAGCCTTGTGTAATTCACTGTTATATAATCAACTTGCAAGCAAACTATGTACAGTGCTGGTCAATGAAATCCCATTGCACCCTGCACCATTACACAGCCCAGGTAAGACTTCATAGCCTGTCCGTGTGTGTGTGTGTGTGTGTGTGTGTGTGTGTGTGTGTGTGTGTGTATGTGTGGCCAGTGAATCCCTACTTTTTGGTCTTTTTCATTTTTTTCACACGCACACATCACACCACATACTCTGGCATGCACTGGCTGTTGGTAACCACCCAGTATATACAGTGCTGGTCAATGAAATCCCATTGCACCCTGCACCATTACACAGCCCAGTGTTAATTGGCCTAGGGCTCACAGCGCCCGGCGCGTACTTGACATTAACATCACTTTATGTCACCAAGTCTTTAAACTCCCAGTCACACGAGCTGCACTGATTACAAGCCACTAGAGGTCGCCTTGGTTATCCAGCCATGAACTTTGGAAAGGCTGAATGGCACTCTCAGTGCATACAATAATGTACTTACATTCGACATACAGGTTCACATACTCATGAGCTTCATGCTTGAAGGTGCTGATGGACTGGTAGGTGATACTGGTCAGGTCAAGCTGCTTCCAGTCCACAAGCATTTGCTGTACACTCTCCTGGCTTTGCAAAACCGAACGAGTTGCCTGCACGGTGCATGCACATATACACACACAGGAGAGAGGAACCATAATGCAAATCTCTCAGCCACGTCCAAGAAAGGATCAAGACAGTAAAGTCCACAGTTCCCTAAAGTCAGCACTTGTTACACTCCAAGGGATTAGATTGCCATTCAAGTGCATGTAGTGTTCGATAAGACCACTGGCCAGCGCTTTAAGAGTCGATCTTCCACACTGGCCTCTCACACAAAAAACTGGCACTGCCAGCAGAGTATCGCAAATACTAGACCGACCAGCACTTACCTGAGCCAGATGTGACACGGACGTTCTTCGGCGGAGCGCGCCAGTGAAAGTGAACCCCACTGAGGAAAACAACAACAGAAAACAATTTTTAAAAGCGGTCCAGTCACTGTGGAAAGAGATCACAACAATTATAACACTATGCAGCAAGGAGGACGCATTAGGACGATACACGTCACGAATAGTGGTGAAAAAGTCTCAACAACTGCAGTATACCAACATCTTCTCATTAGGCCTGTGCCACACAGCAGACCATAATGAACATTACATGCTTCGCTACTAGCTAATGGTATATGTACTCACTTTGATGCTTAATTTTCTGCAGTGATTCGGGCATGTCAGTGCAGCCTTTCGTTATCCAGCCAGTCAGCTGTTTGGCGAAGTTCCGGACAGAGTGAGTCAGACTGTACAGAACAAACAGCACAGACACACACACGCACACAAACATCAAACTACGGTCCTCAAATGAAGGAAACAGTGTCGTCGCAGGCAGTTTCTAGGGTCATGTACACGACAAACGCATACGTAAATAGTTCAGGGAGTTACGTGCTCTGCAAGAGGATGCACACGATGACACAGTAGTAAAAGAAAATCACGGCTCTGGATTGATAGCAGCATACTGGGAAGGCACATGATATGCATACAGACACATGGTACAAGAGGGAGACGTACTTGAGTGACAACGGCTCAATGGCAGGTGGCAGAATCGACGAGATGATTGCCTACAAGGCAGAGATACACACAGAGAGGCAGTGAAAGTAAAGAATCACTACACCACAGAGACAGTGATAGCAAGGCAAATGCCAACCAAAACATACCGTCACGTCGGAAACTAAGTTCATGAATCAACTAAAGACCACCCCCGCCCCAATTCGAGTCACATAAATGCATAAAAGCAGTTGGACACGGAGGCATTCATCGCTCTGGCATAGGTAATGCTTACCTTGTAGAGAACTGAGTCACACACACCAACAACGTTGGCAATGGTCTCACTCTCTAGTACAACCAGCAGGTGCTCAGGCATGCCCGACCAGAAGTGAATGATGAAATTCTCCACCTGTGCACACCGACAATGCACACACACACACACACACACACACACACGCAAACACACACACACACACACATGTGCGCAGGGCACACCATTAGCACAACACGCAAACGGCGCACAGTGAAACACTAGGAAACGCACACCCAGAGGCAGCAGAGATGCGTACTTTGCAGCTGAGGTTCATCTACCACCCGAGATGAAAAGGCCGGGAAAGCATAATCATGCAAGGTTCTCGAAAACAGCACGGTGTACCCGGCAGTGTGTTGCATTCAAGGCATATTCTAAGCGTGGAAAGAAATTCATTGTATCCACCATGCAGCGTGAGCAAGCACTTATTGCTGCATTTTTTGCACGAGACTGCACACTTGGAAAGTGAGTCTTGAAATCCTTACCTCGCCAAAGTTGCTCCTGACGACTGAGTCGAGTATTGACTGACAATGTGCCCGGTACATCATTAAGAACATACTGACCTGGGAGCAGAACGCACAGTGCAAGACAAACAAACACATTGTATGTAGGCACAACTGCATAGAAGAATTGGAAACAGACCACCATCACGTGTCCAAGGCATGCTCCAGGACCAACGGAAGATGCACCACAAAGGTAGCTACTGTATCAGGGCATGGACTGGGTGTGTTCCGAGCGAAACGTTTGTGGTGTCTTATAGTCACGGGAGAGCCTCAGTAATGCATCCAAGGACGTCCAGGGTATTTTCCAGGTGAGCTGAGTCACCGCAGACTTCGTGCTACCGTCATTCAGTGCTAAGAAAGAGAGACAGCCTGGGTATAGTTTTAAAGGCTGGTCAAGTTCATTCAAGTTCATCAACACATCACAGATGGTAAGGGACACACTAGCCCGCCGGACCAACTGGGGCAAGCTCCAAACTTGCACGGCTTAATAAGACATGCAGTGCGGCAGTTGTTGTGATGTTGAACGTCGATCAACATTGGAATAAAGTTCAATAAACTTAGCTCTTCTATGTTCCGGTTTGTACAGTAGCACCGGAGCATTCTCCGTTCCTGATGTTCACACTTGATGCTGTCATGAGCGCTCCGTCAACTCCCATCTTATGAGATGTTGCGTGGAATGGAAGCAGGCTTCACAGGGCCACAGCTAAAGCTACTAACCTTGTCCCGGTTGAGGTCTTCTGACAGCTCTGCCGTTTGCACGTCAGGGAAGCCACTGAGTCTTGGCTGGCCAGGCGGTTTGGATTCAGTGGACTGCGCACCTGGTGCAACGAGCTGCATAGACAGTACACAACAGAACAGAGCAAAGTAAGACATATACGGCTGCATGCCCTCAATCTAGTGTTACCATACCGTACTTGCGGCAATATTGGCCGACGAGGTTAACAGTTGACGACCCTGAAAAATCCATCCAATTTGAGAAAAATGCACACAAAAGCCCCGAAATGATGTGGTGCTTATTTCAGACAGGCGGTAGTAAAAGCTCGGTTTTGAAATTCCAGAAAATACGGTATGTTGCGTGAGAGGAGACCTGGCAAAGATGCCACGACTTAGACCGCAGTAAAAAAGAAAAGAAAAAAAGAGTAAATTATCGTGTCCGTTCCCGAAGGGAACCCACGACGGCCGCTAACACCCGATAAACCCTAGCGGCAGATGCAGCGCCTAACGGTGGGGGTGAGTGGATAAGTCTCACAACCACTGGCACAAGTGCCGAAAACGACCCCATTAGCTGCATCCATGTACCCCTCCCGCAGTGGTCTCACTATAAGCACACAATGATGCATGCGATGATACAGCAGCTGGTACCACTGGGCTGTGGTCCAGCAGTTCCCATGGAACTAAGACATACGTGCAGTATGCTGCGGTCAAACATTTCTAGAGGCGCCTTGGATAGCCACAGCTAAAAAAAACCCATACCCAGCGACAAAATACTACGAGAAAAAGAAACCAACACCTTCAGGGCAAAAAAACAAACATTCGCAACATAGTTCAAGCCTCTTACCTCGGTTTTGTTCGACCTTTGATGAACAAGAAAGAGATACAAGCACAGAAAAAACACGATCAGCATTGGAGTGGCACTCTGATTCACACACCAACACCACAGCTCAACATCAACAAAAGCAACAGCAGAAAGCCCATGCATACGCCCAGCATCGTAACAGCTCTTCCCACAACACAATGAACACATAATCAACAGCGTCAGAGGAATCCCGTGCATGCACCCAGCACTGTAACATAGCTCTTCCCACAACATAATGAAGACGACGTACATGGGAGGCTGGCGTCGTGCAGCAGACACCATAGCTGAGTGGTACGGCGAATTAGACTTCACACCAATACCATAATAGTGATATCTACATGGGGAAAAGATCAGACAGAGAGGAACCTTGTTAGATGGTATAGCCTCTCTAGTGAACATCGCAGTGCTCATTCACATGTTATGGAATATGCATGAAAGAACAAGTTGGATCAGTTCTCCGATGTTCGTTCCGATGGGATTTCACTCGGCAACATATATATATATATAAAAAAAAAAGGACAAAACCGGCAGCAGTCACACAATGAGAAGAGGCATATTACTGGAAAGGATGATGATAAGTCACCATACTGCTCTACCATCTGAACAGCGATTCGGGACAGTCAACAAGATTATTTTTTCAACTTTCTACATGTTTTGTTGCAGTATACCTATGCCGCCAAAATCGTAGATGGTACCAAGATTATTTTTTCAACTTTCTACATGTTTTGTTGCAGTATACCTATGCCGCCAAAATCGTAGATGGTAGACTTGTACAGTAACAGAAAGAGCACATTCTTGAGAAGAAGATAACTACGTTCTTGAAACACGGGCTGGAGTTTGTTTACTTGCATTCAGCACACAAAGCACAGAAGCCATATAATTTTTCCAACTAGGCCTTTCATTCCATTACTCTTCAGGTAGAATACAATGGTGATTAACAAGGTAGTAAGCAAGTCCTTATAACCGGCACTTTTGGCGGTCAAAGCATTGACAAAAATAGCACTGGAAAATAGCGCTAGTGGTAGGGATGTCAGCGAACGCACTGCGCAGGCCTCTGCGCATGCATTGCGTCATCGATTTTTTGAACGTGATCGCGGCCGACAGAGAAAACATGGCCGCGGTCTGTTTGCACCGCTGGGAGTCGTAAAATTACTGTTCTTCTGTCCCCGCGACCATTCAAATCATACGCGATACAGGAGGACCCACGAGCTCACCACGTTCTCCCCGGTCGATTTCTCTGAAAGTTTGCACATCGTGAAACACCAGTATGAGAGGTGTTCAGGCCAATTTTCAAGGGATTACCCTGGTTGGATCGTTCCAAAATCGGACTTGCATTTCTCGCTCGCGGCCATTTCTTGCGCGATGGAAGCGCCCTGCCCTGGTGAGTAACCAGCGTCGCGCTTGGTAGAGAGTTGCTGCAATCAGCTCCCTGATGTCTTCGCTGCCATTGTCAGAAGCGATGGGCCCTGAATTTGTTTGAGAGTCTCTGGATGCTACTTTTCCTCAGCCTAGTTTTCAGCCATTCCGTGCATCTTCTTCGCACGATTTATTTTGCAAAAAAATGAAAGGGTTCATGAGTTTTTTTGTCGGCCGCGCGTAGATGGGCCAGGCTGACCTGCGCAGATGGGCTGCGCAGTGCGTTCGCTGATATCCCTACTAGTGGCGCCAACAGCATATTTGGCGGTCAGAGCATAGACCAAATAGCACTTTAAAAGATAGCGCTAGTGGCGCCAACTACACAGTGAGACAATGAATATTACCAGTATCAGACAACAGTGGGGACCACGGTACTACAATGTCAAAACAGTGACAACTTTCGCACATACTTGATACTGGTAATATTCATTGCCTCACTGTGTAGTTAGCGCCACTAGCTTTTAAAGTGCTATTTGGTCTATGCTCTGACCGCCAAATATGCTGTTGGTGCCACTAGCGCTATTTTTCAAGTGCTATTTTTGTCAATGCTCTGACCGCCAAAAGTGCCGGTTATAAGGACTTGCTTACTACCTTGTTAATCACCATTGTATTCGACCTGAAGAGTAATGGAATGAAAGGCCTAGTCGAAAAAATTATATGGCTTCTGTGCTTCGTGTGCTGATTTGCTTTCCTCCAACCAAAAAAAATCTTACTTGGATTGTCCGCGTGTACCAAGTCTTCTAGTTTTAATGATGGGGAAAACCTGCCGGATCACCTAAACACATTACAACACACGAGAAAGCACAACACAGGGCTAGCTGTGAGCACGGCAAACTTGAGTGTTTCACATCGGAAGCATTATCATCGATAACGTTTTCTGTCAGCACGTGCCAGTGCCGCCGAGGGAAACGCTGCATGCATACGCGGCACGAATGCATATCGGCAACCATCCATGTCTGACCTTTCCGAAGCTTGCTGCATTGACTGGCTGCACACCATGCTGGGAGCAGAAGTCCAAGTAGAACGTGAATAGGGCGTAGCGGGGTAGACTCATGCCTTCCGCCATTTCAAAGTGCTCAAGAAGCCTGTAGCGCGGCAGAGAGAAAGAAGAAGACGAGGAGAGGTAAATCAATTTGGCTCAGAAGAGCAACCCACATAGCCAGTGGAAATAGTCAATGCATTCACACATACATACACACAAGTACAGTGCTGGCAACTGAAATCCGACCCGCCGCCCAGGGGGTTGGATTTCAGTTGCCAGCACTGTAGTACACAAACAAACAACACACAGTAGTACACGGATCAAAGGTATCAATTTAAGATCATTATGAAATACATGCCTGAGGGCCTGTAGTGGCGTGTGAAGGATGGATGCATTTTACAATGTAAAGACGTCACACTGAAGCCTAAAAGTCACGAAGAAATGCTACAACACTGCTGTTATGAAAGAATCGCAGGCTAAGCAAATCTTCCAACGCCTACTTACCATTGGATGGTGAGCGGGCTTTGAAGCTTCCCTGCCAGGCTACTCGCTGCTTCTTGTGTGAGGGCTTGCCCACCTATTCGGCCGGCTACCTGAGGCTGCTGAGCCCCGTTAGCACTGAGCACGACCGTCTGCACTGCAGCTGGCACCTGCAAGCACATTCCACATTGATCAGTTAGAAAGCTGTTGTACTCGTGAGACGAAACACACCACACTACACCACACACACACCACCACCACCACCACACACACACACCTGCCGTTCATGGCTGGGCTCAAGGACATTGCTGCCAGGAACCAGACGATCATGAACGCAGACCAGGTTGTACTGTCTTCCCCCACCTGAGCCATGCTCTATCTACTGGCATTGAACACTTTCAGCCAGTGGGATGCTCTTATTGATTGTGGCATACTTAGCACCATTTCAGTAAGCAAACAGGAACAGCAGGTGTTCATGGTTGGCCGAATCAAACATGTCAAGCCACAACACATTCTCCTTGTACTGAAAGCAAAAAAGGAGAGAGAGAGAGAGAGAGAGAGAGAGAGAGAGAGAGAGAGAGAGAGAGAGAGAGAGAGAGAGAGAGAGAGAGAGCAACGTACCGAGCTGACAAGCGTAGTGGACGTTTGCTGCGTGGCTAGGGCCAGTGCTTGTAAAATGGCTGCCTGGTTAGCAGCCTGCTGACTGGTAGTCGGTGGCTGCTGCCCTTGTTGTAGCTGTTGTTGCTGTGTCAACTGTACAAGCTGTGTGATCACCTGTGGCATGGAGCTGGCATCAATACCTACAACCAACAGTACAATACACGTACTGTAAATCATGAAAAGGTAACAAACAAGTAAATCTAACGAGATAACTAGTAAAGGTTTGTAGGTAATTTAAAATTCGTTAGTAAAAGTTGTACTTTTCTGTAGTACATGTACTGTAATGACTGTCTGTGATCACCGGGTTAATAGTATGGACTCATTTTTTTGAGGGGGTAACAGCCTCTTTTACGGGCAAAATAAAGTCATGTAGACGTGAAAAATTGAGATACCATGAAAGGTAAAATAGAATTTTATTCAAGTACAATACATTGGGAAACTCCAAGAAATTCCACGTAAAACTAGTATGGACTCATGATACATTGTACGATGTACTAGTAGATCTACAATGACATGTACATGTGCACGAAACAGTTACTTGTCGCTGGCGCGCTCGACGGTGAACAGAGGTAACTATCTTTGCTAGGCAAGACGGCGGTTCTTGTTTGTTTTACTGGCTGGAGTATTGTAGCAGTAGTTTTGGTTTTGGTCTGTCCGGACAATCATGTCGATAACGAAGAATTTCTTGCCCCGCACGACTGCGGAGTTAGTGAATGTTGACAATGAGAAAGCGTTGAAGGTTGGCGAGGCTGCTGCAGTGGCTGAGGTCTCGTCTACGGAGGTTGTTGGGCGAAAGCGCAAGAGGACGTCGACAGCATCCTATGACGAGGAGGTCCGGACCAAAATTGGACGACATGCCATCCAGTTTGGTAACAAGAGTGCGGTTCAAAAGTTTTCGAAGGAGCTCGGCTGTCCTGCCCCAGAGGCAACTGTGCAAAACTTCAAACGCAATTTGCAGGCCCAGGTTCAGCAGGGTAAGAGCTTGGCCGATGTGAGCGTTGTTCCTCCTTGTGGAAGGCCACTTCACCTGCCTCGGGAGATCTAAGATCAACTGCAGACCAACTGATCCGAAGTTTGCGTGGCTCTGGGTCGCCAATCAGCTTGGCAATTGTTGCAGCGACGGCGAACGACATTGTCTGCTACAAGAATCCCTCTCTGCTGAAAGAGAATAGCGGACGGGTCGACCTCAACAAGTCATGGGCCGCGTCGTTCATGGATCGTCTTGGCTATGTGAAGCACAAGGGAACCAGAGCTGCCCGGAAGACGCCTCCAGATTTCTCTGCTGTGAAATCTGAATTTGTGAAGAAAGTCACTAGTGTGGTGACAGAGCTCAATATTCCTCCGACGATCGTGATCAACTGTGATCAAACCGGAGCGAAAATGGTCCCAGTCAACAAGTGGACAATGGCGAAGCAGGGCAGCCGACAGATGGACATTGTGGGTCTCGACAAAAAGAGAGAAATGACTGTGCTGCTCGGCATTCCTGCTGCAGGTCGAGTGCTGTGATTCTTTTTTCAGTAGTTCTTACAGTTGTTCTTCTTGTAGTCCTCCGAGTTGTCTTCTCCTTGTAATTGCCCCGAGTCCTCTACTTTAGTCCTCTTTGTGCTCAGTCAATATAACTATTATAATAACCTACAATTCCGTGCAGTATAAAGAGTGTGATAAAGTAGTAGTAGAGTACAGTAGTTCCAGTAAGATACCCATATATAGACGGCGTAGGTGAGACAACATTGGTGGGGGGGGGGGGGGGGGGGGGGCGTACCTTGCCCGGAAGACGCCTCCAGATTTCTCTGCTGTGAAATCTGAATTTGTGAAGAAAGTCACTAGTGTGGTGACAGAGCTCAATATTCCTCCGACAATCGTGATCAACTGTGATCAAACCGGAGCGAAAATGGTCCCAGTCAACAAGTGGACAATGGCGGAGCAGGGCAGCCGACAGATGGACATTGTGGGTCTCGACAAAAAGAGAGAAATGACTGTGCTGCTCGGCATTCCTGCTGCAGGTCGAGTGCTGCCTCCTCAGCTCATCTACGCTGGGAAAATGCCCCGCTGCCATCCTTCTGAAAATGTACCGCCTGGTTGGAAAGTGACACATTCGGACAATCACAGGTCCAACAAAACCACCATGTTGACCGAGTGCTCATCCCGTTCTTCGCCAGTGAGCGTGAACGTCTCAATCTGCTGGACACGCAATGCAACCTCCTGACCTGGGCCAGCATTGCTGTACACCGTTGTGCTGCAGTATTGAAGAGGCTCTCAGATCATAACATCAAGGTGATTTTCATCCCAGCTGGCTGCACCGGCATACTCCAGCCACTTGACCTGAAAGTGAACGAGCCTTTCAAGCGCCACCTGAAAAACCAGTTCGGCGACTGGTGCGCTAAGCAAGTTGCGGAAGACATGGGCAACGGAGCAGATGCCACCAGCGTGCGACTGGACGTGCGCACATACATCGTCAAGCCATTGAACTTCTAGTGGCTGATCGCAATCGTATCATGGCTGAAGGAGCAGAAGGCAACCATCATGCACGGGTTTGCAGAGGCTGGCCTCACAGCTGCACTTTCTCCTCCTACTTTCTCTGCTGCTTTTCCTGCTCGTCACATTCACTACATGCAACTACAGTTGTGCTCTGTGAAATCCGACCCAAAGTGCATATTCGGAGCCCTCAACTTGCACGACCACTGACGCCCTGGAAGTGGCACGTATGTGGCTTGACATACACATGTACAAATACAGTGATGTAATCGGAACAAGTCCAGGGCGCCAGCTTTGCACTTTGGGCCGGATTTCACCGAGCGCAACTGTAGTTCTTTTTTATTGCGTCCGTCTGAGAAAATCGTCAACTTTTCAAACCGTATTACTTAACTAGCCTGCATCACACAATGTGCTCATGCACACAAACCCACAATCTCTCGTACCAGCTTATCCGTTTTACCAAGAGTAGATAAACAAGAGTGTGCAACTCGCGGATGGGTAGGCCCACGGCGGAATTTTTTGTTGACGTAATCTTTTCGACGACGCACGCGCTGCGAGTCTTTTGGAAAGTTTTCCCTCGTGCTCTTGGTCGGCTTTACACTACAAGGTCGGTGCCCAGCACGTGCTCTCACACTGCTCTGCGGCAAAATGAGCGTTCTTCTGAAAAAAGGTGACGTCAACAAAAAATTCCGCCATGGGCGGGGGTATCTGCAGATTGTGCAGGAGAGATCCGGAGTTGCACACTCTTGTTTATCTACTCTTGGTTTTACTTGATTCGTTAGAGTACCGACGCGATCTCTAAGGTTTGGGTGAATTCAGTTCAATTTCGTACATTTCAAGCCAGTGGGAATGTGCGGTGTTTGATTTTCCCCAGCGTGCGGACTGCAACTGAATGCTGTGATGAAGGCAGCGCGCCGCACACCTGACCCATAGAATAGAGATTAGTTGTACACCCTTGTTTACGGACTCTTGCTATAGTGGATCAGCATGAATTGATGTAGCACATTTAAAAGGGGAATGAACAAACACAATTATAACCATTTCCCAACAAACATAGCCAAAGTCGCTACCACTACCAGTATTTAAAGCAAACATGTGGAAAAAGACGGGGACCGTACCAGCAGCGGTCAGAACTCGGGTAGCTTCTTCGATAGCCATCGACGCTGACTGTGCCGTAGCAAGAGTTGCACTGGGATCTGTGGTGGCCACCGATGTGCTAGAGGCTGATGAAGCCACCGTGGTGTGCACTGTTTCCACCTGTGCTGTGCTGGTGGCAACGGTGGCTGGCTCGCTGCCATCTTTGCTCAACTCCACGACCACTGGCAAGAAAACATGACCACACGGCATAACGTTTCACACACACACCCACCCACACACCCACGTACACACATATTCATGCAGGTACATGAAAAAACGGGACATAGCTTCTTGACTTCACTGGAATCTCCCAACGCGTGAACCAAGAAGGATCTCTGTTATTATCATCATGTTAGATGATGGCCGCCTGTTTTGGTAGCTACTATCAAGTTCGACTCCTTTGCTAAAAAAAAGCCCAAGGCATTGCTGAGACAGATGTAACCCCACAGTTAGTGTGTTTGAGGGCCAGTCTCTGGATGGCCATGGTGGCATGTCAGTGCTTCCAAGATCGTTAGTCACGTGTAGGCAGTTGGTTAGGTATTGGGGGTATATTTTATATGTTCTGTACACCCACATACATACTGAAATGAAGGCATTCCGGATCATTATCCTACAAAAAATAGGGGATTTCAGCAAAACTTAGGGGTGCAAGAAAAGCAGGAGTTACCCAGAACATACTGCAGTCTGAAGCCCAAAGCGAGAGATCTACCCCATTATGCCTCAGGATTTGAAGGGATGGGCAGACTGGATCATTTCCAGGGCCTGATCCACAAATGGCCGGATCCCAGCATGGCAACATACCGATAGGTCCTCACCAGCGAAAATAAAGACTAACCCGCAGTATGATAGAATCTCTCCCTCTCTCTAACAAATTCAATAATCGTAGCATGTGGTTAAATCTGTGTTGTCCCGATGCAATTGGATTGGATTGCTCCAATCTGTAAAAGCGTGTCCTCTCTTTGCCAGCACTGCGCCAGGAAGAGTTCATGCATCATTGATACCAGTATGGAGTACCAACTCCTTTTTTTCTTATTGGCTTGTTCACAATAATATTGTACTTCACAGTAAACCATTCCAGATTTTTGCTGTTTCGAATAATGGTGGGATATTTTCCCATGAAATTTTTCGAGGTCGACCATACCGTCACTTCAGAGCCTCGTTCTAATGTACAGAAGTAGCATCGTTTACACCAGCATTCGAACATCATATACTCTAACAAATAACACAACGAGCACCATCAAAGCTAACATAGACAACACAATAAACCCAAACTATAAAAAACTATTTCAAATTATCAAAATTCAGCTCCACCAAATTAATGTTTGCCGACACAGCCTACATTATCACATTTTGAAGAGTGGAAAGTCGTGAAAAGAAAACAACACAGGAGATAAGCAACATGGAGAGAGCGCGGAGAGAATTACGCTGTTCGCAGAAAATGCAACATTCGTCTGCTACAAGCTACAAGGTCAATTGTACTCAGTAACATTGAATGAAGGACAAGGAGCCAAACTATGTTTCGTTTCGTCCTTACCGAATTCTTCTGCGCTTGGTTCCCCAACGGAACTTTGCACTACAGAACCATCTGACGCAAATATCCCATCATTGGTGACATCGGAAACTTCTACCACTGTCGTCTCCAGGTCAGTATTTGTCTCAGAAGCCATTGCTTTCAAGAAAGCGCGCCAGGCAAGGAGGATAGCTACGGACACCACAGCAACGGCAAGCTTCTTGCAGCTATGGGAATCTTCGTTACCAAGCAGAGGAACAAGGCAAAATGCCGGCTACTTGTCCCGAAATGGTATTTCTGTGCAGAAACTGAGCGCAAATTACTTGTCAAACACACATAATCATCGCGGGTACGCTAGCGGTTGCAGCGCAAGCGCTAGTGTAGAGGAGACGGCTCGATACCGGGACGTTTTGACAGCCAACCGATCATCAGCGTTGATTTTTCACTCGAAATATGTTTGTGGAAGGAAACTGGCATGTTGAAGTAAGTTTGCTCTGGGGCCAGAGAACTGAGCCACTCCTTTGTGTTGACCCATTGCCTCCAAGTTGCCCAATTTTTCGCTTCAAAAAAGTTCAAAACAGAGGTGGCTCCAAACCGGACACGTTTTAGAGTGCACGTCAAATTCACTCTGGGTATGAAATTAGGTAATTGCTATCGCTCCACGACGGCCAGTATAGAGTAACAATAAGCCTTGTGTGTGCTTCCATTAGTTTTGATTGGTATGCGGTGCTTTATTGGCGAGAGGCGAGCCGCTGTTTACCTGCGACAAGAAGTTGATTTTTCGAAAGTCGTAAAACTCAAGTCGCAGTGCGAAGCAACTCGTCAAAAACTCACCTGCTTGATATGGCGCTTCTGGTCATCGCAGAGCCATGAAATTTTGGCTCGGAGTATAACCAAGAGTGCACTCTTGGTATAACACATAGTAGTCTCACTGTGACATATGTTTTCTAATCAAAATACCAAGAGAGAAAGTGAATACTGAGTCCGTTCCGGTTTGCAACCGGTGTCCTATTTGAAACCGTCCCCTCTACATGCCACATGGTGTATGTGTACGTGTACGTGTGTAATAAGCGCAAATCGCTAAAAAAGCGTCGATGCAGATGGGCGACGCGACGACATGTCGACAGGCTAGCTAGCTAGGCTAGCTGTCACCACGTCAGCGCTTGGCTTGACACCAGGGAGTAGTAAAATACTCCCTGCTTGACACCCTCAGATCATGCCGAGTTATGGCGACACGTCATCATGGTCATTGTTATTACAGTACCGTATTTGTGAAAGGTGATGATCAGTGATGATGGCCGCGCGGGTTGTACATGTACCGCCAGTATACCGGTACTTGTAAGTTGTACTAAAGTTGTAGTTTGGTTGGATTACCAATTGGTAATCTATTTTTACTTCGCCAGAATGAACAGAACAGGCATTGCTGCCTGCTGAGCTCTCACGAAATGAGGAAGAAAGGAAAGAAATATCACATGTCGAGAGTGTGAAGCATTTAGTTCGCAAATCCGAACGGGAGTTTCTTCCCTGAACAAGGTAGCGAAACCAGAGATACTCTTCGCTACCTTGTTGGAAGTAACAGTTACTGTAAAAGCCATTATTCTAACGAGGCGCATATATAACGATTTCCCAATATCGACTGGTTTACGTGTACCAAAGGTAACGATTCTCACGCATTCTCAACGCTCAATAGGACAGTATACAGTCAACTTCGCTTATAACGACTGTGGATATAACGACAATTCGCGAATAACGACATAATTTTCATGCCCAGAGCTAGGGCCTAGGGGTGCGCGGATTATGCTCGCACGCAACCGATATTATGCTTTCGGGCATTTCCCGCGGAACTTCGAAAGTATTCTCCCAAAACATCGAAAAAATTCTCCAGAATTCCCCCCAAAAAAAGAACCCCAGCATGGAACCGTGCCTTGCGCATGCTCTTTAGTAGTATGCAAAATGGACGGTCAGGCACGTAATCACTGCATGCATGATCTACACTACATTTATAGGTACCTCGACTCGAAAGTTAGTTGATGCATGGACAGCACAAGTGGACCGCCTCGCCGACATTGCCGCAACACACCCCCATGCTGCATTTGCTGGCTATGTTTTTGGCCTCCGACATCGTTGGACCTTCCTTCAGCGTACCATGCCTACAATGGGCACTCATATGGAGCCCTTGCTCAGTGCTATTCGCAGCCATTTGTTACCTGCCCTGACCAAGCATGAGGCCAGTGACGTCGAGATGGATATGGTTGCGCTTCCAGCTCGATATGGAGGTCTGTCGTTGGACAACCCCGTCATCGATTCCTCCCGCAAACACACGGCATCGGTTGAGTGCACCGCTAATCTTGCAACCCAGATCGCCACAGGCGGCTCGGACCTGATAGGGAGCATCAGACAAGACCATGAAGCAAAGACTGCCGTGCAACAGCGCCACCGCGCCACCCTCGACACCAAGGCTAACGAAATCCAGTCTCGGCTGCCCGAGCCGCAACAACGGGCCATGGCGTTGGCAAGAGAGAAGGGAGCCTCCAGCACGCTCACAACAATACCGGTGGCTGAGCACGGATTCTGCTTCGACGTCAAGTCCGACTTCCATGACCACGTGCGCATGCGATATTGTTGGCCACTGGACAACCTGCCGGCTTCTTGCCCATGTGGAGCACGCTACTCGGTGGATCATGTGCAGATTTGTAAACTCTCCGGCTTCATCCATATGCGTCACAACGATCCTACCGACTTTATCGCCTCATGCATGAAGGAGGTGCATTGTGATGTTGAGGTGGAGCCGAAGCTCCAACCTCTCACCGGTGAGGTCCTCCAGCGACGCACCGCCAACACCGATCCGGATGCCCGCGCTGACTTGAGAGTGAGGGGGTTCTGGACGGATAGCAGAAACGCATTCTTTGATACAAGGGTGTTCTATCCCCATGCGTCAAGCTACCGCTCCAGATCCCTCTCCTCTCTGTACCGAAGCTTTGAAGGGGAGAAGAAGCGTGCGTATGGGGAGAGAATTCTCCACGTCGAGCATGGTTCCTTCACCCCTCTGGTCTTCTCTTCCTGTGGGGGGATGGGCCACGAAGCTGCCAGCACGGTGAAGAGGCTGGCAAGTGCTTTAGCCGTGAGGAGGCATGCGCCGTACAGCCAGATGGTGTGTTGGCTCAGATGCATGCTAAGCTTTTCGCTAGCCAGGTCTGCTATTCGCTGTGTCCGTGGATCACGCTCAATTCGCCGCCGTCACTTTGACCATGCCCCTGTCGACCTGGTCCGAGCAGAGGCACAGCTGGTGGTCAGCTAGACAGTTGTCCAGTCATCATGTTTAATTTCTGAGAAGTTCTCAATCTATCATTTTCATGCCAGGCGTGAGCCAGCCCCTGGCTTAACAAAATGGGTGCTCCTTTTTAGTTTAGTTTTCTTCCTTTTAGTTTAGTTTTTCTTCTCTTCTTCTTTTTATTTTGCTTTGCCCGTACAAGAGGCTTACTTTGCGCATGATCTACACTACATGTACCGGTACATGTATACGTACTAGATCTACATATATCTGACTGTACACAGCTACTGGTATGTCGTGTCCGGGTATTGGCATGTACGTGCGTCCATGGATGCGCGCTTGTTCTCTGGCAGGTCAAAATTGACAGAATTCCCCCAAAACTCTTCTGAAGGTCAATGCATCTGGCAAAAGATCGCTAGAATTCCCCTAAAATTCCCAAAATTTTCTCGACGATAGTATTCCCAAATTATTCCGGGAATAATCCGCGCACCCCTAGGCCCTACCCAGAGCAAAGTCCCTTCCAACTGTGACACATAAATGAGACTTCGGGTATAACGACACTTCGCGAATAAGGACACTTTTCTGATGCCCCGCCGAGTGTCGTTATAAGCGAAGTTGACTGTATGTATCGATTTCTGTATAACGATTTCTATTTTAACGACAGATTTCACCTCGTTAACTCGTTAGAGTTAGCACTTCGTTATCTGAGGCTTTTACTGTAGTTAGTTTAGTTAGTAAGCGAAGAGGGAAGAGGTGTATGCAATAGTATGGATCCAGGGACCATACTAGGGTCCATAGTACCCGTGTCTACTACATTGTATGTTATGTTGTTGGTTGACAGCATGTTTATTTATTTTTTACTACAAAGCACTGGCCAGCAACATAAAAGGGGAGGTAGACAAAATTGGACAAGCGAACATTGACAACACAGAGGAGCCTGGCATGCGTGCCGATGAGGTAGGTCAACCTCCCCCGACCTAGTGGTCTCGGGTTCACCAGTTGGTCTACGCATCAGGAAGGGGAAATGGACAGAGAAAGGGAGAATGACCATGAGGAGCTTCCCAGGAGAGGAAGAGTGAGTGAGAGAGAGAGAGAGAGAAACAAAAAATGATAATAATAGAGACAACCGGTTATTCTCAGTGCTGGTGGACGTCAGTGGCCCATAGCCAATTGGTCTGGCGGAGGTGATGGTAGGCCTTGGTCTTGAATGTCGGCAATTTCTTGAGAGTTGGGCGATCGGCAAGAATTGGGGCAGGCAGTGTGTTCCAGCTCTCCAGGACAAAGTATGGGAAGGAGGGGCGGATGAACTCTGGACTGGAGGCTGGCAGAGGAGTTGCGAGTTGGAAAGAGTGGCCACCGAGGGACTGGCGTTGCCGGCGCGTCCGGGGTGCAGCGTTAACTCTTACTGGTGGAGGTACCATGTTGGTAAGCAGAGCTGGACCTGGTATGCATTGCAGCTTATACAGGTAGCATAGCCCGTAAACATGCCTTCGGATTGCCAGGCTGGGGAGCAATAAGGGGCCAATAACCTTCATGGCTCGACGCTGGACCAGGTCCAGCTGATGGAGGTGACAATGTGCCGCACTTGCCCAGACGAGAGGGGCGTACTCCATTATAGGCCGTACAAATCCTTTGTACACAGTTAGGCGCCCTGCACTGTCCAGGATCCGAGACGCCTTTCGGAGCAGGCCGAGTCGCTGGTTGGCTCTAACGGCAAGGGAACGGATGTGGGCCCGGAAGGAGAGAGTACTGTCAAATAACACTCCTAGCAGCTTGGGCTGAGGGCTCTCAGGCACCTGCATGCCATCAAATGTGAGCTGTGGGACATCCAGGGATGGTCTATGGCGGTCAAGGAGTATTGCCTGAGATTTTGATGGCTCGAACTTTATCTTCCATTGGGCACCCCAAGTCTGCAGGCGGTCAATAGATGCTTGGAGGCTATTGCAAGCAGCAGAGATGGCATCTGGGTTTCT